ATTTCTCCCCTTGCCCCATATCGTCGGCCATTTCTGTTGCCGCCTCTCGAGTCTCTCGACCCTCGAGTCCCTCCCTCTCTCCTCCCTCCTTTCTTCAAGGTGTATCTCAAAGCTTTTTGTTTCTTTGATAAATATGTAACTTTTAATAATAAAGAATACATTAAAGAAATTTAAATAACTTTACATGAGACGAAAAAGGAGGGCAAAAAAAGTTAGTGGCAAACGTCATTGCTTTTGGTGTCTGTGTGAGGTGTGGGGATGTGTTTTTGTTTGTTTGTTTGTTGATAAAAACGAGTCTGGAAGGGGGTACCTCAGGCGGCCGCTGCCTCTCGCTTTAGCGTCGCCTGAAACGTTTCCAGGTGCTCTTTGAGCCGTGGGTAGATCACATCCGACTCGGTGCCTTCAAATTCGGCCAGGATGCCCTTGTCTCTGTGTGGAAAACAAACAAAGATCATAAGTTTGACTTCTATCAGTCTTTGAACCCCTCAAACTTACTTGTACAATCCGACAATTTCACTGTTCTGTGCGTGAAATGCCTTCAGTCGCGCCTTCACCACCTCCTCCTTGTCGTCCTCACGCTGCACCAGCTTCTCCCCGGTGACGTCGTCAATTCCTTCTACCTTGGGTGGATTGTAAATGTTGTGGTAGATTCGGGCGCTGCCCGGGTGGATCCACCGGTGCTTGATTCGCTCGATGATCTCACTGTCCGGCACATTCAGGTAGAGCACCTTGTTGGGGCGAACGTCCTTGTGCGACCAGAGCTCATTCGCCTGGCCGCGACTTCGCGGGTAGCCGTCGAGGAGCCAACTTCGAGAGAGGAAACTGCTGCGAAGTTCACTGATTACGAGCTGGTTGATGAGCAGGTCCGGTACGAGTGTCCCCGTCTTGATATACCGCTCCGCTTCAGTGCCAAGGTCCGTTTTGCGCTTGATGTTTTCTCGCAGGCAGTCGCCGACGGAGAAGTAGCCCAGGCCAAAGTCGCGGACGATTCGATTCGAGATTGTGCCCTAGAATTGAAAGGTACAGGTGTGTGTCAGAGAGAGAGAGAGGTGATTAGGTGAGAAGACAAGGGGACAACCTTTCCACTGCCCGGTGCACCTAAAATAATTAGGCGAAGAAGGTGGTTGCGTGACATTGTGCACAGCAGCAGAGGAGAACGAACTTTGCACAAATTTTTTCTGGCAAATCACAAGGTTAATGAGGCGACACTGAAGAAGAAGACACTGGCGGTCTGGGGAACGACGACTGTCACTGGCGGCACTCTCCTCCAGTGAAATCCTATTTGGTTGCTTGTGTACTATCCTCCAGATTGTACAAGCACTGACGAGGAGAACAGCTGAAGAACGTGGACAAAAACCTACAGAAAGTCCTCACCTGCAAATGGTTTGTTTGTACACAAAGACAGCGGTCTTCCGTAGGGCGCTGCTGCCCACTCCGCTGTGTACCTCTGTCGAGCAGCGCCCCCAGCTGCGTTTGCTCGTTGCGTCGACGTTACGTCGTGTTGTTGATGTTTACTGCAGCAGCACCATCAGCCAAACAGCTTCATCTGTACGGCTGTCGTTCTCTCGTACACATCGCTTATCATTTTCCAACGTTGGTGAGTCACACAACTGTAAAAATACGATCCCGTTCTTTAGCGTTCCAGCGCTTATCCCACCTTTTTTTCCATTTCAGAACTCTTCCTCCTCCGCTTGCAATCATGTCCTATGAAAAGGTGAGCCACCTTCTGAATGATCACATCAGCTCGGAAGACATGGGCATGTTCACCACCAAGTACAACACCGCCCTCAGGTCGGGCAATTGTCCGCCAGCGACTCGTTTCGAGTACGCCCTGGCTCTCACTCGATCCCGCTACAAGGGCGACCATCTCCGGGCTGTCAACATTCTCGAAGATCTCTGCGTTTCAGGCGATCCCGATGTCTTCCGTGATTACCTCTACTATTTGACCATCGTTAATATCAAGCTCCAAGTAAGTAGTTAATGCGTAGTTTTTTACNTTTTTGAAAAAATAGAACTTTGAGCGTGCTCGGGACTGCATCAACAAATTCCTCTCAGTGGAACCGGAAAATCGCCAGGCTAAAGACCTGAAGGAATACATTGAATCAAAGGTGTTCCGTGAAGGGGTGAAGGGTCTCGCCATTGTAGGTGGAGTTGCTGTCGCCGTCGGCGCTGCCGTCGCACTTGCCCTCGGTAGTAAGAAGTAACTTCCTTCGAAAGTAACCACCTTATCTTATGTAATATCCCGTTTGCTCTCTGGAATTAATATGGACCTTAACTTGTAAAGATTTCTGTGTTTTGTAATAAAAAAAGTTTGACAGTGAAACTGCGTTTTTGCAGTCTTTGGTTCAAAGCAACACTCGATGCATTTTTAAAATGCCTTTTTGGATCATTCTGTACCCGATATGGACAAAAACTGAAACTGAAAAACCATCACCAGAGATCGGCAGTCGATGACGATACAGTTGTACGAAGCTGTAGCAGCAGGCACAATATTGTAGAGGCAGTGTAGTGCCGCTTCCCCGCACTGGACTCGTCAATGCTTTCACTGAGAATGCGCTCAGCACTCTTAAAGGCGTTCAGGAGGCACACCACCTCAGCGAACCGTTGATATGGTGTAGTCGGTTAT